GCGGCTGGTGGGGGAGCCGGGGAGGGTGCACAGGGCTGGGTGAAGGTGCGGGTGGTGGGAGCTGGGAGCAGTGCGGCAGCAGCAAAGGCTGAGAAGGGGCTGGGGGCCATGCTGCATTGCCGAGTGTCTCCTCTGTACTTCCCACAGCTAATGCACCCCTTTGGCTGTCCCATCTGCTGCACTTCTGACCCTACTCTCAAGTACTTTGGGGCTTCTCACGCTCCACCATCCCAGCACATCAACCCTTGGTCCTGGGAAACCACCCACTTTCTTCCTTGCCCCTGCAAACGGGACGCAGAGACTTCCAGTGGTTACCAGTTCCTAGAGAAGAGCACAGCATCCCCTCTGCAGGGTCTGAGCCCCCCAGGGACTGAGAGCTCAATCCAGACCACCCACTCTTCCCACCCCAGCACACCCAGGAACATCCACAGCTCCCAAGTGTCTGCCCTCAGCTCCGGCTCACTGACTTGAGCCTCCACAATGTGGATGCTCAGAGCCAAAGAAAGGTAAATGCATACTCACAGCCTTCAGCCTTGTTTCCAGCGCCGGGGAGCCGCTGGCCTCTCACCTGCAGCCCCTCAGGTTCAGTGCAGGGCTGGGGAACCGCTGCTGTCCCCACTGCCTGGCCGTGCAGCCAGCCCGTGTCCTGCGCCCAGAGGCTCTGACGCACCTTGTGCTGTTTATGGTAAGGGATGCTCTGCCCTCGAACCAAGAGGGTGCCCGCGGTGGCAGGATCTGAGCCCGGGCCGGCTGGCAGCTCGGCATTGGCTCTGGGCTTGTGTACGAACGGCTGTCCCGAAGGCCGGACTGGACCTCCCAGGAGAGAGAGGGGGATGAGCGTCATTAAGCGGTGGGTGTCCTGGCCTCTGAGCACATCCCAGAGAAACTGCGGCTGGAAGGAAAGAAAGCGGCTGCAGCTTAGCTCGGGAGGCCTTGGCAAGAGATGGGGAGGAAAAGTCTTCCCTAGTCCTCTACAGGCGCTCACTAAGGTGTCACCCTGCACTTTCTCCCTGGGCACGCCATACCATCCCAGATTCAAATCATCTAAGGGGTCACGGCAGCTGCCTGCCTGACCTGGACGCAGCAGTGCTGATGCTCCCATCCTCTGCCCATAACACTGGGCTGAGCTGGAGCAGGATTTGTGGAAAAAAATGCCAGAGTGGGCTGGGAAGACTCGGCAATGAAGGATCTGACCCACCCCCAGATAATCCTTTGCTGCTGAAAAAATTATCCAGGTTTTAGGCAGAATTTGGGTTTCAGGTTCCATTCTGCTGTGTCTAGTAGAGGAAAAGGCAGCTACCATCAGTTCCTACAGACCAAATCCCTTCTAGGACTTCTTTTGTTAAATTAAGTGGACTGTTTCAGATTTCTTGTAAGGAACTCCTAGGTCCTGAATAATTCCTGCAACTCCGGTTGCCTGGTGCCTTGAGTTTGTCAGCATCCTTCTGAGGTGTGTCACCCTTCCAGCCAGGAGTAGGAGGCCTTTCTGGAAACAGACGGTGCTGGAAGAGGCAATGGACCTTGCAAAGTTTTTCATTAATTGCAGGTCCATAACTATCCCTTCCCCGACACAGCAGGTGACAGCCACCGTCAGTGCTCCAGAACAGCCCTTGTAGCCTAATGGAGCCGACAGGCTCCAGGAAGGACCTTCCAACAGGAAGCCTGTGGGCTTCCTCCTTGTCTGGTTTTAGACTGGTAGCCTGGATTGGGAATCGGCATGGCAGCCAAAACTCAGTTTGAGACAACCACGCAGATCTGCTTTAACTCTAGGTCCAACCCCGGTTCCCCTGGTGCAGTCCTCTGCCAAGCCCAGCTTTCTTCAGCTGTGCACCCCGAGACAGTCCGGGACACAGCAGCAGCACCGCTGAGGGTTTACACCATAGTGTGCTCGTGCAGAGCAAGGATGACTCTGGAGGGGGAGCTGCAGTCCGAGGACTGAGCCCTGCAGGGTTTTAGGCACATGCACTAACTCATCACCTTCCCTGGGCAGGGAATGGTGTAATGTAGAAGGCAAGATGTCTACAGAGAGGCATTGTTTGCAGTGCAGAATTCACCTAAAGACTTTTTTTTTTTCTTTTTAGACGGCCCTTTGCTTGCCTTCAGTCCCTCTTTCCTGTGTGAGCTCCTTTACCACACTCCTAGCCTACCCAGGAATTAATTTCATCCAGCCAGGAGAAGCCCACTGCTGCCCTGAAGCAGCAGGTCACGCGAAGCCGTGTGCTGGGCACAGCAGTGTCCGAAAGGCAATATCCTTGTGGTCTGCTCTTTGGAACACCGGGGAGAGGGCTCTCCTGGGGAAGGGTGCTCCGGGGCTCTATGCGGCCGATTGGCACACCCCCAGCACGCCCGTTTGGAAAGGGGCAAAGTCAGTAACTGTATGAAAACCCACAGACCCAGATGCTACATTGGATCTCATTTAACTGAGCCACACCAGAGCTGCTCGATGCCCGTGATTCATTCCTCACGATCCTCCCGCAAATGGCTGTCTCCTGTGTCGGCCTTGCAGGATGGATCTGAGCAATCTTCAGTTACCTGGCTCTTGGAGATAACAGTGCAGAATCGCTGAGTGTCAGCTGGTCTATCAGTTGTGAGGAGCAGCTGGGAGAGCTGATCTATGATGCCCAGGCTTCGGATAAGGTTCTCACGCTGCAGAAGAGCATTTACTCTTTTCTTCTCCTCATTTTCCACAATATCCTGGGGTTGCATAGAGTCGTACTGCACGCGCTGTATCTTAGGAAAAACAGACCTGAGTTACAGCAAAGCCCTAGTAATGCACAAGAGAGACCAAGCTGCAGACTGCTCCATGCCCTAAAGAGAATTACAGACTTTGGGGTGCAGTGGGACAAAGATCCCAGTGGGAACCACAGCAGGGAAGGGACAACACTGGTGCTTGCGAGTACCTCCCAGCACAAGCTGTCAGCTCTCTGGACTTCACGAAGGGGACTCCAGCCTCGTAGCTGTGCTCCTTGGGAGACACCCACAGCCCAGCACTGTTCCCAGAGCCACGTTACTGCCTTTGAGAGCCCCAGGGGCAACAGCCAACAAGAGCAAGGTACCTTTCTATCCCACATCCTGGTGCTTCTGTAGGTGAGGCGGGTTGTAGGAGCTGTGGTTTTATTATGGATCTGGGATTTGTCCCCAGCTGTCTCTCCATGCAGGTCTTCTTTCCTCTCTGTTTTCTTCTTCCTGGTAACAGCTTCCAACTTTTCTTTTTTCAGGCGAATTTCCTCCAGTTGGTGCCTGCCATGGAACAACAGTCTTGGTCACTGGGTCAGTAAGAGCCATAGTAGCAAAAGGTTATTATGAAGCCTTCAATTCGAGGACATTTTACTGTAATCAGACATTCTGTAGTAAATACAACATAATAGAAGCGTGCCAAGAAATGGGCCAGGAGTACTTTTAAAAGAGACTCTCACTGCTGTAAGAAATGCCCTTAAATTAGGCTGTGCCTGCCAAAAGGGTGGAGAACACTTGCAACATGGTGCCTCCAGAGTCCAAAAGTCAATGGAATATTGTATTTGCCTCTCAAGGGTACATGCAAAAGGAAGTTGCTTTGCTATGGTGACACAGCTCACGCAACTTCCCTTCCAGCTCTCAGCAGCTTGCTTACATCTATTAAGCAGCAGAATCATCCCCAAGAAGGGATGAGAAGCAAGCAGTCTCTACACCACCCCTGTGAGGAGCGGGTTTTCCGCAGGAGCAGTGTACCTGGCACACTCCTCTCGTGCTTTGGATGACACCGTTTCCTGGAAGAGGGAGCCGCTCTGCTTGAAAAATGGCTCATACTTCTCTGTTCCACGTGCCGGATAAATGCGCCGGTATCCACCCAGGTGCGAGTCCTCATACTTCTCTGCCTGAGACAGCCAGGCAGCCTGGTTGCTCTCTAACTCCTCGCGTCTGCAAACCAGGAGAAAGAACAGGGAGGGAGCTGCGACAGGCTCCAGGTGCCGTCCTGGCTGAGGGACAAGGGCCTAGCTAGCACTTTTCCCCTGTCTTTCCCCGTTTGGGAGCCTGTTTCACATGGGTGCACTGCAGGGAACCAAAGCAACCTGCACTTCTTCATCCTCTACCTGTAGACTGCTGGTGAAGCGTTTTCAGATCTCTTCCTTACCACCCAGGCTCACACCCTGTCCGTCAGCCTTTGTACCCAACTAACCCAGTTACAAGACAAGTTCAGTTAAAAAGTGCCTATTCCAGGAATATTTGCCACCCTGCATGCTGCTGGGAACCTTCCTTGCTAGCGGGGAGCTCGGAGCGCCCAAGGCTGCAGGGGCATGCAGAGCACAGAGCTAACACACTCAGTGTCTCCAGCCCAGAGTTATCTCAGGTCTCCTAATTGAAACAGGAGCTGGAGGGAGTTTCTGCGTTGTCCTGCATGGCAGGAAGAGCCCGGGCAGCAGGCTCATCATGGCCTCGAGAGGCCATGTGGACTAATTAATCATGAAAGGACATGCAGACAGAGAAGCGGGGAAAATCCTCAACCCCGGGAAAGGAACCCTGCTCTGGAGAAGGGCCCCATGCCCCCGGGTGCTCTTGGTCCCTGAAACAGTGCTGCAGTCTGTCGAGTGTCATTGTGAGCCCAGGGATGCCGGAACAGCCCATCGGCACTGAAAGACGTGACAAGAAGGCACAGCTTGATGGGGATGACTCTGTACAGGGCCCAGAGCACCAGGCACCTCAGATCTCCTAGTGCCCAGCGACGAGCCCTGGCTCTTCCTTGCAGGATGCAGATGGCTTGGGCGATCTCTTCTCAGAGGCTATACAGTGCCACAGCCTCTGGGAGCTTTAATTTGGAGACAGACAGCCTTGGTTTTACCCTGCTCCACCGTGCCCCATCTTTTCTCACTAGGGACCTGTAGCACTATGGGAAAGAGCAATACCTGGATGCACGGAAAGCCTGATGGCCCTGGAGGAGCCGTTCCTTTGCCCACTGTTTGTCTTCCTCCAGCACTTTCCTTTTGTTACAGGCATGCACATTTATCAGGTTGATGGTATCACAAAGAAGAGCATCCTTCACCTCACAGTCTAGGCGAGAGTCCGTGGTGAAGCTGGGAGAGTGGTTCACCTGCCAAAACAAGCAATTAATCTAACCCAGCACCTCCCAGCTCCCAGAAAGCACCGCCATCAGCCAGCTCGCTGGCCCCAGTCTGCCCCACCACACGCCTTCCATGGACGTTCTTCCGTGTAGCAGTGACAGAAAGCAGGCAGCTGCACACAGCGGCTGGTTCTGTCCTGCAGCCTAACGCCCATCTGCACTGCAGGTCACTCGGATCCCGCACCCCACAGGACTACAGGCGCGGGGCAGCTCTCAGAAGTTCAGGATGCTGTTACAGGTCAAGGAGTCCTAAGGTTCAGGGAACTCCCTGCGCTTAGAGAGGGTGCACAGGGAACAGGCTCTTAGATCCCGTGAGCTGAGGCTGCCTAGCCTACAGCAGGTTGTTTGGCTACTCGTCTTCATAGCCTATTTAATTATGCCAACGAG